ATGTTGCAAATATGCAAAGGACTTTAGTCATAAAATAAGTCTTGATAATGGGTACTTATGACCAAATGATTTCACATAGCTGCAATTTTATGTAGGTTTGGTAAGAATATTGAAGAAACATAGCAGGAACACTGGAAATAAATTTCCCTTTTGATTTGAAACCTGAAGACACAGATCCAAAAGTTCAATTGAAACACCTTAATTCCGGGACCAGAAAATTCAGGCCTGGCCTTTGAAGATTTAAAATGGAGAGGTAGCAAGTTGGCTAGTGCTCTGCTGGCCAGCTCTGCAGCCTGACTCTTCTCTCCTTCCTCTTCTGTTTCCAGGGACATATTGTTCATTTTAAAGATTTCAGAAGGTGAGCAAACAATCAGAGCAGATCAAAGCCTGGCGAAAATGCCAAAAATGTGTCTAATGAAAGACAATGCTGACAAACAAACCATTTCTGCAAAAACAGCTTTGGTGGCAGGTAACAGTGAGTGTAATTCACATGCACAGCTATAATTAAAAGCAGAAGTGGTAAAAGGATTTCTATAACACTATTTGGAGGCAAGGCTATGATAAATATACTAAACAAAAAAGATTTTGAAACTGAATCACACTTATTTTTTACTATTAAAAAAGGTTAAAATTTAATTGCTATTTTACCTAAATAAAACAATAGCCTGGACTTAAAGCTTATTTATTCACTGATTCGAGTATTTACTAATGTTCCTCTCCTGTCATATACAATGCTAGAAGCCAAGAATCAGCAGTGAACACAAACAATGACTCCCCCCACCCCCCCAGCTTATATTCCAGTGAGGGGAGACTACTGACCCCCTCCCCACTAAAGCAAAATGTTGGACACCATTTCTTAAACCTCATCTTAAAACACATTCTTGACCTGACAGGAGCCTGGAAAGGAAAGAGCACCAAAGCTGGCCTTTGCTCCTTAGGGTTACACATCTCATTTAAGAAAACCTTCTCTACCCTAAGGTCTTAAGACATGTTTTAGAAGATATTTTCTTGCAAAAGTTTTTAAAACTTATTTTTTATATTTAAGCATTTTATCCATCTGGAATTGACTATGGGCATGTTGTAAGGCAGAGATTCTATTTCCTTTCTTTCCATATGGCTAAATACTTATCCCACAGGCATTTGTTAAACAGTAAATCCTTTCCTTGCTAGATCTGGAATGTGTCACCTCTTCCATAATATCATGATTCCATGGCCGTGTGGATTCAGTTATGTACTTTATATTCTATTCTATAGTCTATTTCTCTATCCCTGTGATTAAAACTTTCTTTAAATGAATCTCATAGCACTTATCACATTATTTGCCACTATCAGGATAAATGTCTTCTGTCCTCTTGGTAAGCCAGTTGTGACTATGATTTATTCACATTTTTATTTCTTATAGCATCAAAATCATATTTCTAGTTTGCAAGCATATTGGCTAAATAGGAGATGAGGCCAGCAGCAACACTGATTCTTTACTATAGTCATAAATATTCCTCAAAATAATTACCTCAACAGAACAAAGCGGATGCAGTACCAACAGATGCTCTGGCATCTGGCACCTCCGGACCAGGAAGGGACTGCCCCTCCCAGGGTTACTAATTCCTAGAGATATCTAACAACTCAGCAGGAAGGGTTCCTTTCTTGTACAAACTACCAATCCAAAGCTCATACCTCCCATACCTCCTTCACCAGGCTCTTCCACATCAAGCCTATACCCCCCCACCCTCACCCCCACCCGACCACAGACACTTCAGGGCCAGGTACTCGGCAACTAGGGACAGCATCTATGCTCCAGAGTCTGCTGAAATTGTTCCAACTCGCCAATCCTAACTCTGCTTACCCGGTCTTGCCTTGCTTTTCCCATGGGAATGACAATAAAGGCTGTAGCCCAGGTTTGTCGTCTTTCCCACTGTCTCCTAACCAACTCTCGTCTTCTCTGTGTCCCACCTGCACAGCAGGCCATGCCTCCAGTTTCTAGGGACCAGTGAGTATAAACTTCTTCCTTCAGGATAATCATTTCCATGTCTGTATGCTGTACCATACCTGATTAAAACAAATCCCAGGTACATTTTGAAACAAAGCACAATACATTTAGCCGTTATTTTCAGCCAACATGAAGTGATTTAAATGAGAAAACAAATATAAAACTAAACGGTTAGTTTGCCAATGATGAGGAATATAAGATTTTAGTTTATTGTTCTAAACATTTGATAATTGGTAGAATTATTCAATGAGAAACAGATATACTCAAATTGTCTGATCACTCTTTTTGCATGCCCTAAAGGTCAGGCTAACATGAGTTTTATTTTGTATATTTATAAAGAAATCCTTCTCTTAAGAACAGAAAGTTAAATTCAGAACTGTGATAATCCTTAAACCTTATCATATTACAGTTTGTCCTTTTCACAGATGACAAGATGAACTATTGAACTGAGTGTACTGATTCTCTATATTAGTATTTCAAAGAACTAAGTATTTGGAGGAATTAATCATGACAGAGAGAGTACATCATATACAATTACCTCACATAAGTTTATTAAATTGAGCTATCCCATGCATACTCTGAAATAGGATCAAAACAAAACTATCCAAAGGACAGACAAAAGAAGTAATCACCCAATTTTCTTTCTTTTCAATAAAAATGATTAAAACTAGTTCTTGCTTAAATAAATTCAACTTATTAAAGATTCAGTCTTGCCTTCAATAATGCCACCATGTGTTCCCCCTGGGTAGTCTGTATATTAGGCCCAAAGAAGCCATTTATTGCATCAATGTATTAATGATTCTCAAGTAGTTTAAAGGGTTTTGCTGTTGTCATTTTAACACCAATGGAGTGGAAGGGAATAGGCAGCACTGTATATGGAGTCAAAACACTTTAAAATCCAGTTCTAACTCTGGCACTTACTGTCTAGCTAACAAGATTTTCCTGCGACTCAGTAATCCCATCTCTAAAACAGAATTTGTAAGACTTGGCCTGCTTACCATACAGAATCAAAAGGTTATTTGTAAACTGTTAAATTCCATAAGTTTACAGTATTATTATTCAAAATCATCTATATAATAAAGAGCCATGGTCATAACAACTGAAGGCTCGACCAGACCGGAAGTCAGTGCTGGGTTGCCGTGGTGACACAGTATTGAGTGGGGCCGCTGCGGGCACCCCGACCCAGCACTGACTGCCTAGGGCAGGGGTCCTCAAACTTTTTAAACAGGGGGCCAGTTCACTGTCCCTCAGACCGTTGGAGGGCCGGACTATAGTTTAAAAAAAAACTAGTTGGCTGCTAAGCAACAGACAGCAGTGGCAAAAACACCCAGCGGCCGGATAAATGTTTTCGACAGGCCGCATGTGGCCCGCGGGCCGTAGTTTGAGGACCCCTGGCCTAGGGGGCTATGGATCAGGCTCAGAGAGAGGCCTGCAGAGAGAGAGGCAGGGTCTGATCCATAGCCTCTGTGGCAGCTGTTGATCAGAACTTGCCTCTCTTTCTCTCTCGGCCTGGCCAATAGCCTCACCTCCATTTCTCTCCAGGCCTCCACCTGGGCTGCTAATCAGCCCCGCCTGTCTGATCAGGCCCCAATGATAGGCCCAGAGACGCTAACTGGCATAGAAACTGACCAATCAGAACCAAATCTGGGTGACTGTAAGGAGCCAATGGCTGCCTAGAGGTGGAGCTTTTGACACTGACTGGCATAGAAACTGACCAATCAGAACCAAAATGGTTGGCAGAGGAGGGTAGTTGGGGGTGAGATCAGGCCTGCAGGGGAGGGCAGTTAGGGGCAATCAGACAGGCAGGCAGAGGCAGTTAGGGGTGATCAGGCAGGCAGAGGCAGTTAGGGGCAATCAGGCAGGCAAAAGCAGTTAGGGGCGATCAGGCAGGAAGGCAGAGAGGTTAGGGGCGATCAGGCAGGCAGGCAGAGAGGTTAGGGGCGATCAGGCAGGCAGGTGAGTGGTTATGTATCTTATATATAAAATATTTTATCCAACAACATTTTTTCCATGTAAATTTTATGAAGTTTTAATGTTACTCCATTAGGAATTTACAAAATATCAGGGGTTTTGGTTAAATTTTATGTTATGATTAATAGAAACCAAAGTTTCCTTTGTTAAAAAATACACAACTATTTAAGGTAAAGCTTTAGACTTTTATTTTCACTCATTCATTCCTCCAACAACCCTGTAGTAGGGACTATTATTATTCCTATTTTACAAGGAAAAAGTTGAAGGAGAGCGAAATTAGGTAACTTGCTCAAAGCCACCCAGCAATTCCTTGGCAGAGCCTGGATGCAGACTCAGAAAGTTTGGTTCTGTAGTCAGTGCATGAATCTCAGAAATAAAATCTTGGGGTAAAAGGTGTGAAAAATACAGAGTATAAAATCCTTTATTAAAAACTTTAAAATAGGATATATTTGATTGTTTGAGGACACAGATATATGTGGTAAAACCAAAAGAAATCAAAGGATCATAAAAAATTTGAGATGGGGTCACAGGAAGATAGGAGAAGGAAGGGACGTAAGGAGACGCTCCGGGAAATCGTACTGGTTTGGATGCTGCTGTTTCTTCAGTTGTATAGTAGGCTCACTGGTGCTACTTTATTACTTACATACATGTCACAACTTACCTTGTGTGTATCAAGTATTTTATAGTAAAATTTCAAAAACATATGAATCAATAAGCTAGTCAAAGATTTAAACTTATCTTGATTTAGGGCCCTTATAAAGTAGATAAAATCACTCTTCTGTTTCCAGAGTGAAGCTTGACATGAGTGTCCTGTGGCTGTGGGCATGGCATGCATCTTCCCATTACCTGGCCACTGTTTCAGAACCCTCACCATACACATCTCAGAACTCATGGCTGATTATAAACAGGTGGTTGGAGCTGCCACAACCAATTTGGTTAGAAGTGGCACCCCCATCGTCACTGTGCTAAAGGATCCCTAAATTTCTTACAACTGGATATTGCGGGATGCACTGTTACCTGCTTTTCAAACACGGTTAGTTACCTGTTAAGTTTGAAGCATCGGCGGGACTCAGTTGTAACCAATGGCGGGCATCGGAGTCAGCCACATCTGTGGGAGTGTTCAGGTCTGCATCTTCCTCACAGGTCTGCCATGAGCTCATGGACAACTCGGCCTCATTGTTATAGCCCAGAGCCGTGTCACTGCTGACACTTTCACCTGGCATAATAAAGAACCAAAGTCTGAGATAACTAATAGCCACAATTACCCCCACATAAGTAACTAAACAGCTGACACATGCAGGGCATAGGGGCTCAAAGGGGCTGGTTTGGGGCTCTTGCTCAACCAAACAGAGCTTCTAAGTGCTGAGCATTAACAGTCATTACAAGCTCCACTATGTATCACCCAAATAGCATTCCTTTCAAGGGGCTTCAACTCATATACCATATGCCCAAAAGATGTACATCAAGTCGTTAAGTTTTCTACTGAAACTTATTCAACTACAAAATGGGGGTGGGCGGAAGAAAAGGGGGCGAATTGGTCCATATAAATGCAAGTTTATTCCACTGGCTAGAAAAGTCTAGTGATGCTTTATATCTTGAGTCTGAGTCTAGACCTCAACCCAGACTGCGTCACCTAGAGCACTGGGGGAGGAGGTGTTCTACTATAAAACACTGTCTCCAATAGAAAGTCTCTCCTCTATATAATAAAAAGTTGTAATCTGTCATAATACAATGATGCTTTTTCAAAGGCTATTAAGCCTAATAGGGCCATTTTGTCTAACACAAAACAGACCTAGACAGTTTACTTCTCCAAGTCTCCTGTCTACCTCATAATAATTTTGTGTGTCCACCCTTTTCGTCTGCTCACTCTTTCAGCTCCTTTTTGTACCTATGCTGACAGTGCCCAGCTTTGCTGCTGCTGATCTGCTGTTCTTCCTTCACTTGCAAAGAACTGAAAGTTGTTCCAGTCATTAACCTGACAGGTCTCTTACTTCATTGCCACAGGTCTCTAAGCCAACAGGACCTGAAGGAGGAGCCAAGAGAAGCTCCTGCACACCCCACCAGAACCACCCTGGACCCGAGCTGTCTATCATGCTGCTCTGAAAAGGAGGTGGCCCAAAACCTGCCCTTGGGAAAGCAGAGTATTAGGGCCACATTTTACAGTACATGATAATGTGTCAGGATTCCAATCACGTTTTACTTTTTAAATACTTATACTATTGACTGCAGGGTACTTCTGAAGCATTTTGCTCCAAGCTGGTGGGAACTTTCTAGGGAAGATCACTTTTCCTTCTGGGTCTGTCTGCTCACTTAGCATTAGCTTTGGTTGTGCCTCTCACCTAGGAAAGGGCCCAGCGGTGGAAAGACAGGCCTCTAAGGTTCAGGTAAGTGACTAGAACTGTTCAGGATGTACGTGTGAACTAACTGCCCATCAATCCTGAAATCCCAGGAATAAAATGTTCCCATTTCACAACTATGTGTCTTCAGATGATATTATTCAAGTTAGAAGCACAAAGAAAACAAAATACATCAGCTCTGAATCTGGACGAACACAGACCACACCTCCTGGAACTTACTCTTCTGTCTTTCCCTGCATTTTCCTTGCATCTGCTGCAAATCATCTTTTAAATCCAATTCGGCGGAGCTGCTGCTTCTTCGAACTAAGATCTTCAGACAAAAAGAAAAATTGCATTAGTTAAAGGAAAGTTTTGATTTTTATAAGACTGCTAAGTTTCTAGTCCACATTTCTAAAGGAAAAGAAACAAATGATAATAATAGCAACAACAAAATTGAATGCTATTTTCCATTTTGAAGGATGTGTTCACAATTTACTATAATTGAAATATAAATTATTCAAGATCTGAAATTTATGGCTTCTACTTTGTCAACTGACATTCAATTGAACTGATCTACTGAGAAGAAATGGCAAATTATATAGAAATGATTTATTTTGAAGTTCTATTTGTTCCTCTGCTCAAGCACACATATATAGTGAACGCACTTTTCCAGAAGGCCCACGTTTACCCTCAGATGGTGAGTGTGCTGGCAAGGAAGGCATGGACTCCACCGAGACTTTCCTAAAGGTTACTCAGTGTCTTCCTTATAGCCGTGAAACACCTTCCTGAGCAGCATTCAACACTGGACCGTGTATTACACACAGAGCACTAAAACACTTGGAGGCAACCTGCATCCTCTAAAATTTATGACTTGCATGGAGAGACAAAACATACACAAGTTACACAAAATGATTATAAGATATATAAGGAAAATATACAAATAAACTCTCTCTACAAGGTATGCAGAATAGTGTTACCATAATTGGCTCACAGTTACAGGACAGCTGTTCAAGAAGGCAACTGACATGAAGTGATAGAGAGAAGGCAGGAAGCACTGAGTGGCAATCAGCAAGTTGTATGTGCAGGGACAGAACCTGATTATAGCAGGCCAAGCAGGGCGGGCAGGTGGAGAAGAAAAAGATAACAAGAAAATGCAGACCACCTTCTAAAAGAGGCAGCTGCAAGTGGGCCTTCAATATCAGGTTTAGGAATTTCAACCCAATACTGTCAAAATGAGCAACTGTATGTTCTAGACCAGGGGTGGGCAAACTTTTTGACTCGAGGGCCACAATGGGTTCTTAAACTGGACCAGAGGGCCGGAACAAAAGCATGGATGGAGTGTTTGTGTGAACTAATATAAATTCAAAGTAAACATCATTACATAAAAGGGTACGGTCTTTTTTTTCAATAGTTTTATTCATTTCAAACGGGCAGGATCCGGGCCAAGGGCCGTAGTTTGCCCACGGCTGTTCTAGACAATAGCTTGTTGTGATTAAAAACATAACCAGAAAGAAAAGTTTAGTATCTGTGCCATGCATTAGTGTTAAGAAGAAAATTATCATGGAACTGGTAGTTCAGGAATGAGCATATAAGGCCTTTGATCGTTAAAAAAAAGGGGGGGGTAAGGTAAAAAGATAAATAAAAAAACTGCAGAACGGCAGAGGAGTAAAATTAAATCACAAAAGGATATGACTCTAGGGGATCATCAGAACAATGGTGACAAAGGAAGGAAGAAAAGTAGGATGATGAACAAAAGATGAAGTTTCTGATATTTTAATTTTCATTTTGAGCTGAATATCCAAAGAGAATATCCTATACATAGGCAACAAAAATCCAGGATTGTGAGACAGAGGATAAAGCTGGGAATGAAGAAGTACATTTAAGATCCTCCAGTGTAGAGTATATTAAAAACCCTGGATTCAATGAACTAAAGAATAAACATTAAACAAACAATTGAGAAGTTAGGACTAAGATGTATAATTAAAAGACAGAATAATTATTAATCCAAGAAACAGGTGAAGGCCATGAATAAAATATTTAGAAGAACAACAGTATATAAAAAAATATTACACAGCCTTAAAGGAAGATGACATATATCTAATGTCATAATGAAAATATACCCAGATATTTCCTGCTTCTGACTGAGAAATGAAATATCCATAGCTATAGAACTAGATTCTACATAAAAATATGGGTTGTAATTTGGGACTCAAAGGAGGTAAATTTACCTCCAAATGATCCACATCCTCCTTTCCCAAAGCAAATGGAAACCAGAGCAGTGAAACGGGGCTATCTGGAGGGTAAATCTATTATTACCACTGCCAGGGGCAAAAGAACCAAGGCTCTAGGGCAGTGATGATGATCCTATGACACGCGTGTCAGAGGTGACACACGAACTCATTTTTTGGTTGATTTTTCTTTGTTAAATGGCATTTAAATATATAAAATAAATATCAAAAATATAAGTCTTTGTTTTACTATGGTTGCAAATATCAAAAAATTTCTATATGTGACACAGCACCAGAGTTAAGTTAGGGTTTTTCAAAATGCTGACACACCGAGTTCAAAAGGTTCGCCATCACTGCTCTAGGGTTAAGTACACTCCCTGGTTCCTAGAAGAAACAAATGCAAATGCTGTCCTGGTGAAACTCCATCACCTGAGACACCCAGGTTTTCTGCAGATTAAGATCAGCCGTCTTGAAACTCAATCAAAGATCACCAAACACCAAAGGGAATCTATCACCATGCACAAGAAACTCAGAAACAGCAAATATCAGACTCAGACGCCCCCACCCTCCCCCCAAGGATTTCAGATAATCAGATAAAGAATTAAGAATTATAATATGTGAGCAATTTAAAGGAATAAAAGCTGAGGATCACATATTAGAAATTACAGATATACTTGAAAAGGCTAACCTGAACCTTCAGAAGCAAAAGGCATACTTGCTGAACTAAAAAACTTAATGGAAATATACTGTAGTAAAATCAAAGGACAAGGACAAAGACCAAGAAACAACAACTAGGATGAATAGAAGACTTCTCAATAGTAAGAATGAAAGACAAAAGACAGTAGGAAAATAGCTTCCATTAGAAGGGGGATGGAAAGGAGAAAGTGGAGAGCTACAGTAATTAAGAGGTTATAGTACTGTACAGAGAAATAAAATAACCAGAATCAAGATAAGAAATACTAAAATAGCCCTGGCCAGGTGGCTCAGTAGGTTAGAGTGTTATCCTGTACAACAAAAGGTTGCAAGTTCAATTCCTAGTCAGGGCACATACCTAGGTTGCAGGTTCTATCCCCAGTCAGGGTGTGTATGGGAGGCAACTACTCGATGCTTCTCTCTCACATTGATATTTCTCTCTCTCTCTCAAAATTAATAAAAACATATCCTTGGTGAGGATACAAAAACAACACTACCAAAATAAAGCTTCACACATCTGAGAAACAGCATATACGAGAATATATGAGAGGTGGCATTTCAGATCAATATTTTAAAAAATGGATTCAATAAATGGGACCTGAGACAAGTAGTTATCCACTCAGGGTGAGTAGGGGGAGGAATTTGGATCCCTACCTCATGCCCTACATAAAATCAATTTCAGACACAGGAAAGACTTAAATGTGTAGAGAAAAACTAAAACAAAAATATAAGGTAATATTTTCATTCCCATGGATTGGCATTTTAATTTTTTAATAAAACCTAACCATTAAATTGTTTGATAATCAAGAATACTGAATTTTGCCTGACTGGTTTGGCTCAGTGGAAGAATACTGAAATTAAGAACTTCTGTTCATCAAAAGTCACCATAGAGAAAGCAAAATATAAGTTGCAAGAGAACGCATTATTTTAATTGTACTTTGTGAATATCTTTTACCTAGAGGTTTATTGCTATTTTTGTCTTTTATGAAATTTTTGTCACCAAGTAAGGCAGGATTACATTTTCTTCCAGATTGAGTTGATGTTGGGTATTCTTTTTTTTTTTTTATTTTTTTTATTTTTTTATTGCTTAAAGTATTACAAAGGGTATTACATATGTGTCCATTTTATCCCCCCGCCCTAGACAGTCCCCTAGTCTCCCCTATCCCCCAATGTCTTATGTCCACTGGTTATGCTTATATGCATGCATACAAGTCCTTTAGTTGATCTCTTACCCCCCTACCTCCTGCCCCGCAACCCTCCCCGGCCTTCCTGCTGCAGTTTGACAATCTGTTTGAGGCAGCTCTGCCTCTGTATCTATTATTGTTCAAAAGTTTATAATGGTCTCTATTATCCATGAATGAGTGAGATCATGTGGTATTTTTCCTTCATTGACTGGCTTATTTCACTTAGCATAATGCTCTCCAGTTCCATCCATGACGTTGCAAATGGTAAGAGTTCCTTCCTTTTTAGAGCAGCATAGTATTCCATCGTGTAGATGTACCACAGTTTTCTAATCCATTCATCTACTGATGGGCACTTAGGCTGTTTCCAGATCTTAGCTATGGTGAATTGTGCTGCTATGAACATAGGGGTGCATATATCCTTTCTGATTGGTGTTTCTGGTTTCTTGGGATATATTCCTAGAAGTGGGATCACAGGGTCAAATGGGAGTTCCATTTTCAGTTTTTTAAGGAAACTCCATACTGTCTTCCATAGTGGCTGCACCAGTCTGCATTCCCACCAGCAGTGCACAAGTGTTCCTTTTTCTCCACATCCTCTCCAGCACTTGTCGTTTGTTGATTTGTTGATGATAGCCAGTCTGACAGGTGTGAGATGGTACCTCATTGTTGTTTTGATTTGCATCTCTCGGATGATTAGTGACTTTGAGCATGTTTTCATATGTCTCTTGGCTTTCTGAATGTCCTCTTTTGAAAGGTGTCTATTTAGGTCCTTTGCCCATTTTTTGATTGGATTGTTTATCTTCCTTTTGTTAAGTTGTATGAGTTCCCTATAAATTTTGGAGATTAGGCCCTTATCGGATATGACATTGGCAAATATGTTTTCCCACACAGTGGGTTTTCTCGTTGTTTTGTTGATGGTTTCTTTTGCTGTGCAGAAGCTTTTTATTTTGATGTAGTGATGTTGGGTATTCTTGGTTATCAAAATACGCATAGCTTTGGGACTTTGAAATGGTAAATATTCATGATGTGTGAGAAAGCATGATACATAACTGTACCATCTTAATTACATAAAAATGAAAGCTTAGTTGTGTAGATACACAGGACTTAGAAGGACACGTCAGACTGTAAACTGCTTGTGATTATGGATGGCTTTGTTCTTTGCTTGTGTTTTTCAGTTTCCTATATATATGCACATGTTAACTTTAAAAAAATAAATGTTACTTTAAAAGCCTAAAAATAAATAAATATATATATATACACATATATATACACATATGCATATATATACACATATGTATATATGTATATATACATATGTATGTATATACACATATATATATATATATATTTATGTTGCACCTTGAAAGAAGATATTTGCCAGAAATAACCAAAAAAGGATCAGTATTCAGACTATATAAAGAATTAGGACAAACTAAAGAGAAAAAGACAAGTCAATAGGAACATGGTAAGGATATCACAGATGACACACACATGATCAATGAACATATGAAAAGATTTCAAATTTATTAGTAATCTGAAAAATTCAAAAGTAAGATCCCATTTTCACACTTGAGTCAAAAATTTTAAATCTGACAAAGCAAGTGTTGACAAGAATGTGGATGAATGGAAACTCTTTACACAGTGCTGGCAGAAATATATGTGGTGCAACCACTTTGGAAAACACATTATCTTGTAAAAAAAGAACATTATTCTACTCTATGACCCATGAATTCTACTCCTAGAAAGCCACCATAGAGAAAAACTTAAACATGTAGATCTTAAAACACATATAAGAATATGTATAACTGCACCCTTCATTTAAAAAAATTGAAATAATCTAAATGTCCACCAACAAGAGAATAGAAATAAATTGTGGTTTATTCACAGTAAAATATCATACAGCAGAGAAAACTTAATAAACTACAGCTACATGTCACAATGTGGATGAATCTTAGAAATACGTAACTGAGCCCGGCTGTCATGGCTCAGTGGTTGACTGTCGACCTATGAACAAGGAGGTCATGATGGATTCCTGGTCAGGGCACATGCCAGGGTTGCAGGCTCGATCCCCAGTATAGGGTGTGCCAGAGGCAGCCAATCAATGATTCTTTCTCATCATTGATGTTTCTACCTCTCTCCTTCTCCCTCTCTGAAATCAATAAAAATGTATTTAAATAAAGAAATACATAATTGAGTAAATAAATCAATAATATCAGTTTTATAATGTTTAAAAATAAGAAAAACTAAAGTGTGTGTGTGCGCGCACACGAACACAAATATATATGTACTAGAGGCGCGGTGCACGAAATTCGTGCACTGGGGGTGGGGGAGGGTATGTCCCTCAACCCAGCCTGCACCCTCTCCAATCTGGGACCCCTCGGGGGATGTCTGACTGATGGTGGGATCGGGCCTAAACCGGCAGTCGGACATCTCTCTCACAATCCGGGACTTCTGGCTCTTAACCACTCACCTGCCTGCCAGCCTGATCACCCCCTAACCACTCCCCTGCAAACCTGATTAACACTGCTGGCCCGATTGCTCCCAACTGCCCTCCCCTGCTGGCCTGATCTTGCCCCCAACTGCCCTCTCCTGCCAGCCTGATCTCACCCCCAATTGCCCTCTGCTGCCGGCCTGATCTCGCCCCCAACTGCCGTCCCCTGCTGGCCTGATGGCCCCCAGCTGCCCTCCCCTGCTGGCCTGGTCACCCCCAACTGCCCTCCCCTGCCAGCCCAATCGCCCCCAACTGCTGTCCCTTGCAAGCCTGGTCCCTCCCATCTGCCCTCCCCTGCCAGCCTGATCTCACCCTCAACTGCCCTCCCCTGCTGGCCTGATCTTGCCCCCAATTGCCCTCCCCTACTGGCCTAGTCCCCCCCAACTGCCCTCCGCTACAAGCCTGGTCTCCCCCCAACTGCGCTCCCCCACCAGCCTGATCTCACCCCCAATGGCCCTCCCCTGCCGCCTGATCTCGCCCCCAACTGTTCTCCCCTGCCGGCCTGATCGCCCCCAACTGCCCTGCTCTGCAGGCCTGATCTTGCCTCCAACTGCCCTCCTCTGCCAGCCAATTCGGTTCTGATTGGTCAGTTTCTATGCCAGTCAGCGTCAAAAGCTCTGCCTCCTAGGCAGCCATTGGCTCCTCACAGTTGACCCAGATTTGGTTCTGACTGGTCGGTTTCTATGCCAGTCAGCACCTCTGGGCCTATCAACAGGGCCTGATCAGAAAGGTGTGGCTGATCAGCAGCCCCGGTGGAGGCCTGGAGAGAAATGGAGGTGTGGCTACTGACCAGGCCTGGAGCTAAAGAAAGAGGCTACTGCTGATCAACAGCTGCCACAGAGGCTACGGACCCTGCTTCTCTCTTTACGCCTCTCTCTGGGCCTGATTCGCACCCCCCTCAGCAGTCAGTGTTGGGTCACGGTGCCTGCAACCATAGCAGTCAGGACTGACTGCAGGACTGACTTCCAGTTGACGGAGCCTCCTGGTCGCTGCAGATGTGATGGACCCAGGGTTTTTATATATTAGGACTAGAGACCCAGTGCATGGATTTGTGCACCGCTGGGGTCCCTTTGCCTGGCCTGCAGGGATCGGGCCAAAACCAGCAGCCCAGCAGCCCCTGAGGGGTCCCAGAGTGTGAGAGGGCACTCTGCAAAGTTGCTGTCACTCGGCAGGTCCTGTGTTGAGCATCTGCCCCCTGGTGGTCAGTGTGAGTCATAGCTACTGGCCAGTTGGCCAGTCGGCCAGTTAGCCGGTTGCTTAGGCTTTTATATACATAGATAGTATATGGGGAGAGGGAGAGGGGCAGAGAGAGAGAGAGAGAGCACGCGCACGTACACAAAGCAAGGGTATGATAAACACAAAGCTAAGAAAATGCTGCTCTCTTAGGGGACAAGGAAGGAATTTACATGCCAAAGCAGTGCCACTGGAAATGTTCTAGACCTGTGGTCGGCAAACCACGGCTCACGAGCCACATGCAGTTCTTTGGCCCCTTGAGTGTGGCTCTTCCACAAAATACCACATGGAGGCACGTACAGTGCGATTGAAACTTTGTGGCCCATGCACAGAAGTCGGTATTTTGTGGAAGAGCCGGTATTTTGTGGAAGAGCCACAGTCAAGTGGCCAAAGAGCAGCATGTGGCTCATGAGCCGCAGTTTGCCAACCACTGTTCTAGACTTTAAGCTGAGTGGTTGTTTTGTAGATGTTTATGTGATTATTGAAATATACACATATACATACAGAATACAGATATATAAGCTTATATATAAAGACAAAAGACACTTTACACTGGTTATCTTCTAAGCAAGCAAGAGGTTTTCTGTTTTTATTTTGTACCCTTCTCTGATGTGTGAGTTTCCTATGAATATACCACATTTTTTAAAAATGAATAAACAGGAGTTATCTGCATAAATGAGTAATAGGCTACTTTTCAATTTTTTTCTTTATCTACACTAATAAAAGAGAAAAATGGTAATTGGCGTACGACGCTACCCTTTTCATTGGCTAATCAGGGCTATATGCAAATTAACCGCCATCTTAGTTGGCAGTTAATTTGCATATGTAGGCACAATGCAGGGAGGCGAAAGGGAAAGCAGGAAGAAGCCCCCCAGCCATGATCGGAGAATCAGGCGCCTTTGCTGCCCTGGCCAGTGATAGCAGGAAGTAGGGGTGGAGCCAGCGATGGGAGCTGGGCACGGTCGAAGCTGGCAGTCCCGGGAGCTAGGGGTCCCTTGCCTGGGCCTAAAGCGGAGCCCACGATCGTGGGGCCGCTGCAGCTGCGGGTCCCTGCTGCCCGGGCCTGACGCCTCAGCCAGAGGTGTCCTGCAGGGGGAGGGGCAGAGCCCGCGTGATCGCGGCGCCCCCCGCTGCCACTGTGGGTCCCCGCTGCCCGGGCCGGACACCTAGGCCAGAGGCGTTAGGCCTGGGCAGGGGCAGAGCAGGAGATTGCGGCACTGCTGCCGCTGCGGGTCCCCGCTGCCCGGGCCGGACGCCTCGGCCAGAGGCGTTAGGCCTGGGCAGGGGCGGAGCCTGCAGCTTCGGGGAGCTGGGGGTCCCCTGCCCAGGTCTGACACCTCTGCCGGAGGCCTCAGGCCTGGTCAAGGGGCCGATCTGGTGATTGGTGATCGGAGGGTGATGAGGGTCAACTCCTCTGGCCGAGGCATCTGGCCTGGGTGGGGGGTGGAGCCGGGGATTGGGGGGATATGATGGTCCCCTGCCCAGGCCTGATTCCTGGGCCAGAGGCCTCAGGCCTGGGCGGGGGTCAGAGCCAGTGATCGGGGGGAGATGGGAGTCCCCTGTCCAAGCCTGACACCTCTGGCGGAGGCGTCAGGCCTGGGCAAGGGGCCGATCAGGCGATCGGAGGGTGATGGGGGTCTACGCCTCTGGCCGAGGCATCAGGCCTGGGCAAGGGGCAGAGCCAACAATCTGAGGGGTCTGGGGGTCCCCTGCCCCGGCCTGACGCCTGGGCCAGAGGCATCAGGCCTGGGCTGGGGGCAGAACCAGTGATGGGGGGAAATGAGGGTCCCCTGCCCAGGCCTGACGCCTCTGTCAGAGGCGTCAGGCCTGGGCAAGGGGCCAGTCCTGCGATTGGAGGGTGATGGGGGTCAACGCCTGAGGGCTCCCAGTATGTGAGAGGGGGCAGGCTGGGCTGAGGGACACCCCCCACACACACACACACACACACCCAGTGCACGAATTTCGTGCACCGGGCCCCTAGTACTTTATATTTGTTTTTTAAAAATGCTTTTACATATTCTTAAGAAAAGAAATCATATCAGCTCTTTGCAAAAAATGAGTTATCTAACAACTCATGCCAGGTGGAGGCTACTACCTAAAATGATGTCAAGAACAATGAATCTGAATGTATGTCTGAAAAGCAAGGATATCTGATTAAAAATACAGAGTGCCAGATAAACACCAGCTGGTGAATTCCGCTTCATGTTGTTTTCTATTTTTGTGATGTGACTATAATTTTATACAGAAAGTAAGACTTTAAAAGAATTTGAAGTTGTATGGGCTTATGACTTGTTTAAATGGAAAACTTTAAAAAAAAAGAAAACTATCACTGCCATTAATAAATTAATTTATTGTTCCAATAATTTGCATGTTTATCTCTAATGACAAATTTGGTTGAAAAATATCTTACTGTTATTCCTTCATATTCTTTCTTCACATGTCCCTTATTCTCTTGAATAGGCTTTGGCTCAGAAGAACTCAAATTCTGTACATTTTCTATCCTTTGACCTAGAGATTTGGTGAAAAAAAAAAATCAAGAGAAGGAATATTTCAGACAGTAAAACCGGTAAAATATTTTTATATCTAAGCAATTATTAAGTTTAGATATTCTAAAATACATAAAAAGGAGGCATAGGTATGGCAAACTGGTAGCCTATGGGTCAAGTCCACAGAGAACTTTTAAAAGAAAGGGCTGAATGCCACTCACTGTGGCCCATTAGGATAGCACAGGCAAGGGCGAGGAGACCCGTTCTGGCTTTGGGGAGGAGATCTCAGAGAAAAGCTGCCTGAGTTAGCTGGGTGAGCTGACAGGAAGAAGAAACCAGGAAGGTGGCTGGTACTTCTCGAGACTAAAGACTGGTGAGAGAAAGAACAAATACCCAGAATCAGTCACTAAGAAAAGACTATCACCACAATACCTGCAAACATTACAAAGATCAGAAGAGGATTTTATTTGTAATCTGGGACCAATAAATTCGAAGAAAAAAAAATGCATGAGTTGATCAAATTCCTAGAAAAAAAAAACTTATCAAAATCAAAAAAGGAAAGGGAAATCTGAATAGTCTTAAAATGATTTTAAAATGTGAATGGTATTGCCATAGCCGGTTTGGCTCAGTGGGTAGAGCGTCGGCCTGCAGACTGAAAGGTCCCAGGTTCGATTCCGGTCAAGGGCATGTACCTTGGTTGCAGGCACACCCCCTGTAGGAGGTTTGCAGGAGGTTTGCAGGAGGCAGCCGATCGATGTTTCTCTCTCATCGATATTTCTAACTCTCTATCTCTCTCCCTTCCTCTCTGTAAAAAATCAATAAAATATATTTTAAAAAATGTGAATGGTATTTTAAAACCTTCCTACAGAAAACTCCAGGCAATGGTAGGTTCTACCAAAATATATAAGTGGGGGGTTGCAGGGGGGGAATCACAACAATCTTACACAAACCTTTCAAAGAATAGAAAATCTTCAGGTAATATATTTTTCAAATTATTTTTCTGTGTGTTTTATTTCAAGAGGTTTTAACCATTTGTACACCATGATGCAAGCAGCGGACCTTTTATCATTAAATTCAAAATATCGTGGCAGTTAACTGGTTAAGAGGCAATACTTCCCTACTATCTGATGAGGTTAGCATGACCCTGACATTAAGAACTGTGAGATAACTTGTAGACAAATAAGTTGGTTTATTTCTTAATATAACTCATGAAATTAATGATAAATGATAAATAAGTTCACTGATACCAGATACAATCTACACACGCTCTTTCACTGTAAACGCCATACATTATTTATTGTTTACAGGTCTAACCATCTGCCTCTTTGCTTTCCACACCCTGTTGTTGCTGAAAGTTGTTGGAGAAACTGTGTAAATTAATGCTATTACGAGTTATTTTCAACATCAGTAAAGTCTATAAGCTGATAATAAAATTTTTCACAGGTCTGGGCAGCTTTCCATTCTGTCAACTTCTATGGCCTCCTCATGGCCTTTTCCACATCTGCCCAATCCTGCCCTGCCTTCTACCTAACTTGCTGCTCTCCCTGACCTTGGAGGGTAACCTTCTTGGCTTCATGCCTACTCAAGCCACTCTGGACATCTTTCTAGTTCTCAAACGTGCCACACTGGGAAAACACTGGACATATATAAGTATAACTTAGATAAATATATTAAAATAGATAGTGAAGTTTCACTGGTGTGGCTCACTGGTTGAACACTGACCTATGAACCAGGAGGCCAACGTTCAATTCCCGGTCAGGGCGTATGCCCGAGTTATGGGCTTGATGCCCAGTATGGAGTGTGCAAGAGGCAGCAGATCGTTGTTGTTTCTATCTTTCTCTCCCTCTTCCTAACTCTCTGAAATCAATAAAAATATATTTTAGAAATAAATAAATAGTGAAAATATTTTAATGCCAGAAATCACTGCCTTACAATAAAACTTAAAAAGTAAATTCCTTTGCAATAAAGTTAGAATAAAAGTAGAAAGCACTGCGCCATGCAACTCCTGCCCAGCCAGACTACAGTTCTGTGTCAGGGACTGAAGCTCCATACCCGGGGCGGGCTCAGAGCGCAGCGGCTCGGTGACATCAGGCGTGCTGCTGCTCCGCAGGAACCGCGGCTGCTGCTCTGCCACCAGGTGGCCAGACTCGACTGCAGGTGCATTTTCTGACTGCTGGCATTCTTCCATTTCTGTGGGTATTAACACAAAACACATAGAGATGTATTTAAAAAAAATTTAAGTAAATTCACCACTTAAAACAACTGATTCTAAAAACATAGGTTTAGATATACTTTTTTCCCCACAAAAAATGTGCAGTAAGATAATGTGCATTTACATCATAAAGTTTCCTATACTTGCTAACACTAATATTCTACTCTAAGAATAGATTTTTCTTTTAAGTTCTACATAGCATTTTATTTTTTAATCTAAGTGAAGGGGTGGGGGAAGCCACAGAAATGGTTGAGAACTGCAAACGTTACTTGGAATTAAGGGACGGGAATGCTGAGGAAAGAGATCCAGGAGGTACATGGAATGGGTTTACTTTTGAGGGGTGTAGAAATCAGTGTGCATGCACGCACACACACTCTAGAGGAAGATAACAGGAAACATGGGGATTCCAACTCTGTTATTTTTTTTAATGGATAAATACATTAAAACTGTCCAAAATAAAATGATAATTATTTAATGGCTTATATCACCACATGTACAGTTGAATTAATAAACAAAGTACAAAAATGATCCGCTGGTCTTTTTAGAGACTCAATACGTATATGACATAAAGTAGAAAACCACAGATGAGTACTGCCTGCCTGATAATCTCATCTAGCATTAGTACAAACGACACTGCTGTAGAGAATGAGTGCCCTCCTAGCTCATTCTAAACTGTTACAGTTCACTTTAATCTCCAGAGACAACCCAAGGCCCTGGAAGATCACACCACCTTCTCTCTCTAGAACTACAGCTTTGATGTGGCAACAACATCTTTTGCCTTGGTTGTTATAATAATCTCCTAACTGGTCACTTTCACCCTTTTCTTACCACCCTCATATCTATCCTCTATGTGGCCCTAAAGAGGCCCCTTTAAAACAAAGATCTGAAGTCCTCCAGCATTGTGCAGTCAAGCCCTGCTCCTCACAGTGAATACAGGGCTCTCCTTAATCGCACCCCACAGACTGACCCCGCACAAGGGGCTCTTATGCTCCCGTTAGTCTCCAGCAACCCTAGCCCACTTGGCACCTGCTGTCTGCCTCCCGCTGCTTACTCCTCCATGTTAATTTCACACCTGTTCCCTCTTCCCCCTCCCATACTGCCTGGGCACCCCCACTACGGGACTCGCCATGTGGTTCCGCATGTAAACCTCACCATGACATCCCTCACCAGACTGCACGCTTACTCACATACCAGTAGTCATGAAACTTTCCGTCCACATAACTATAACAGCATCTTTTCCAAAAGTTTAATTAGCTAAAGTTTCACTCCTTCTAATAAGCAACTGATCAAAATTCAGCCTGTGTCATGTTACCTGGCAGTGTCACCCAAGTCCTTACCCAAAACAAGACTCACTGTCAATGTGCCAGCGTCTGTATAACCCTTTAATCTGAGCCATGATCCAAAGTTCTGGTTCACCCCAACCAAGGAGTTGTATGTAGGAAGTTTCTACATGTGAGACAGGATTTCAGCAAAAGAGTGCTACTTTACTTATGCTATCCAAATAAAAATTCCATTTAAAGTACACTGATACAAGTTACCAGACCTCACACCTATGAAATTTGTGTGATCCTTTACTTATAATTCAGGGTACTGGGCCACAGTCTAAGTTCAGACACTGAAAGGAAGCTAAACTGAGGGTAAAAACAAAGAAAAGACAAGTATAGGAGCAGACAAACCCATTAAAGCTTTGTCTTTCCAGGGTGTCTCTGCTTTCCTCTGGAACAACCAAGAACTGTTCACTGCCCTCAGAAAAACACAAGACCTATGTACCTATCTGTGATCTACCCACACCCCCACAAGCACGGACTAGTCCTTTTCACGGGTCTATTTCCAGCCTCTGCAGCATCAGGCAACAGACGCCAGATAGCTCCATGCAACCAGCACCTTCTGGCTCTCTACTTGCACTGTTTATTCTGATTATGCAAGACTCTGAAACCTTCTGGGAAGAGTTTATATTTGTTAATGAATCTACTTGTTAATCCAATATCAGTAGAGGGAGCCCAAGAGCTGCGTAATGCTCTAAAAAAACAAGTGGATGATTCTTGTTTTTATGGGTAGTAGGAATAGTGGGTTTTATTCACTTAAATTTGATGCCAGAAACTAGTAGATGTTGGTTTCTGGACAATGAGCAGACAAGTAAGAGCTGGGCCAAAACTGGCAGCTTCTTTTTAAAGATAAAGAACATTGCCATCTGGTGGGATGTAATACAGCCACGGCACCGTGGCTTCCAAATTCAAGTGTCCCCACTGGTCCACAACACAACAGACGGATGAAGAGCTTGCCATTACCAGCTGGTCTGCCTTCCCAACAGTCAGGCCTGATGCAACCTTAAGACTTTATTTTTATAAAACTGTTGGTAGGGGCTTCTCAGATGGAGAAAGTCCAAGCCTGTAGAAATCACCAGAAGTGGTGAGTGTGGGAGCATCCAGGATGCGGATGGGGAGGAAGGGGAGAATAACTATGTCAAACATGCTGTTGTGCTACTGTTACCTAAGCTATTCCTGCAGCTGACTGTTAAGGGATACAGTGTGAAAAAAAGAAATTGAAATTCTACCTATCCCAATTTGTAAGCATACATTTTTTGGCTTTTCTCACAGTTTGTACTAAGTATATAATCAATATATGTTTTGTATAAATGAATAAATCAACACCAAAAACACTTTCTTGATGCATTTCTTAAAAAACAAAACAACAAAAAACTAAACAGGTCTTGAGCTCCCTCTACTGGCCTTTTATTTTTAAAAAAGAGCAACTCCCATCAGTATCAGTTGTAGCAATTACACTTTCATAATATATTTAAAACCATTTTAATGCTGATATGAAAATATCAAGATGAATTATCCTAGCCTGGCCAGCATGGCTCAGTGGCTGAGCATCGACCCATGAACCAGGAGGTCAAGGTTCGATTCCCGGTCAGAGTATATACCCAGGTTGTGGGCTCAATCCCCGTAGGGGCGTGTAGGAGGCAGCCAACCGATGATTCTCTCTTATAATTGATGTGTCTATCTCTCTCTCTACCTCTCCCTTCCTCTCTGAAATCAATAAAAAATCTTTTAAAAAAAGAATTATCCTATATTCAAAATAGAAAAAAAATCTATAATTATATTATAAATTCTGGGAATTCTAATGCATTGTTTTGAATATAACACAATTTCTGTTTGAATCAGTTCTAAGAACTAAATTCTACCTCAAATTCTCCATATTATTCATTTCCTCTCAAGCATAACTAATCCAATAGCCCTAATTTTAAACGCACTTTCTAGCTTCTTGAGAGTATGTTACACAATACCATTGCTTTCTAAAGTTTCACTCAAAACACCAGAAAACTGATCAAATAAGGATTACTTAATTTCGTTTTTCCCACTGAGAAAAGAATCAGCATGATTAAATTAAATTAAGTGTGTAAGCTCTTCAGAAACTTCTATTTATTCCAGACATCTGACCACTTTTCAAAGAATGAGTGAGACTTTTTCTCCAATAACCAAAATTCTGGATTTCATAAGCAAAATTTATATTAATTTCCTATCTTTTAAAGCACTGCGCACAATACCAGATGCCAACCTGCCCCTGTAAAACCACAAGAGATGTAAACCAACTCAGCACTTTGATGTTTCCCCAAGGCTCAAAGGTGAGTCAGCCCACCCCTGACAATAGCACTTCCTGACCATCGAAGAGGTGCTACCTGGGAGCCTGAGAACCAGTGGCAGAAGCAGCTAAGTGAGGCCTTCGATTAGGTCCCATTGAGCCTCTTTTTAGATGAGGGAAGATCACAGGTTCTCTAATTACTGCTATTACAATGTTCCTAAATGAAAATCGACCATGTGCATGACCTGTAAGCACTATAGACCAGTGGTTTAAACTGTGTACCCCAAGAATTTTTAAAACGTGCAATTACCTATGTAGCCAGGGGCACTGACCTCTTTTCCCTTAGAGTGTCAAATTAAAATGACAGCTGCCAACACAACAAAAATTGTCTAGTATGAATGAATCAAAACTATATCTATCTTTCTGTCAGATTGGCAAAAAATCCATTTTTTGGTGTGCCACATAATTTTTGTAATTTTAGTTTATGTGTGTGCCATGAGATGAAAAAGGTTGAAAATCGCTGCTATAGACTAATAAATATCCCAATATAAAAGCAGTAAGATTGCAAAACAACTGCAAAGAATTGTTCCCACAAAAGAGAAAAAGGGAATCACAGAAACTGTCAATGCTACCTCCCACATGTTTGCTACTATAGCTATTCACATTTATGGCCTACATAAATGGTTTCGACTTTCCCAAAATTCTGCTTAAGCCAAATAAAGAGTCACAAAGGGAACAGAATAAGAAATCATAGTGGCTGAAGGCAAGGAATTTTCTTTTTTTAAATATTTTTAATATAAATATTAACACAATTTGGTGGGTTGAATAGTTATATAGATTAGAAACAAAACCAAGCAACGTTGCTCTAACCCGTTTGGCTCAGTGGATAGAGCATCGGCCTGTGGCTGAAGGGTCCCAGGTTTGATTCCGGTCAAGGGCATGTACCTTGGTTTCGGGCACATCCCCAGTAGGAGGTGTGCAGGAGGCAGTTGATTGATGTTTCTCTCTCTTAGGTGTTTCTAACTTTCTATCCCTCTCCCTTCCTCTCTGTAAAAAAAAGCAATGTTGATTTAAACAAAAACAAAAAATAGCAATCATTTTTGTAGTAAAAAACTTGTGGCCAGAAAGTTAACATTAAATGGGTCTGCATATTATGTATAGGTAAATATACCTTTCTCTAGATATTTAGCAACAGGTTAGCAAGATGTGCTGACACACTAGGATTTAAATTGGAGCACAAATTTAAGGCTCTAGTGTGCTGACCAGTGGAGAAAGTACAATCTAAGACTGAGGACTGATATGCAATGCTCTCCACTCAGTCTCTCGACAGAACAGCCACAAGATAATGGCATGGGCTCTGTAATTACTACAGAGCTGAGGCAGTTTGATCTCC